TTGTTCAGTGGTAAAGTGTTTGCCTAAAATGTGTGACTGTGTGATCTCCACACTGAAGAAGGAGAGAAAAAAAAACAATTTAAATTTAAAAAATGAAATTTTAAACAGGATTATTTAAATTTCAAGGTGCCTCTCATAGTGTAGACAGTAGCTATTACAATTATTTTCTTTATTTCCCACCCCTTTTCCCTTTTTTAACATTGTCAAATTTTAATATTTCTGAATGAAGTCTAACCAATTTGTATTACATAGTATTTGCATGTATGCAAAAAAAAAAAAAAAAAAAATCTGTCAATGACCCAAATAATCTTGATGATAATCAACAGCAGCAACAAATAGAACTGATGAAAAACCTCAATATGCATTCATTTTGGAAGTGAGGCAGCAAATATCAAGTCAATATTAGGAAAAGTGTCAGTTGTAGAAATCATACAAGTTAAAGTTCCAAGCGCCAAGCTCACTTCCTCAATCCTATAGGTGTTAGTGATTAAGCTAAATAGAACTCAAGTTCCTGGTATTAGTTTAATGTGATTTTCCATTTTCAGTGTTTTATTTTTTGTAAAAATTCAAACTCAATCTTGTGAAGAAGTTTAGAGTTTCCACTAAATTATATGTGTATTTACAGCGCTTTTAAAGTAGAGGATGAGATGCTAAGGCCTGGAGCATTGGCAGTGAAAGCTCATTAGCACCCCCTACAGGATAACCGTGTAGCCAAACACAAGTCAAAATGAGCCCCCACCTTCCCATTCCTCCATCTAACTAACTCCTATAACCTACATTATCACTCATTCAGAACAGATTTAAGATTAGGAAATACAAGTCGTCCAGGACACACATGAACCATATCACTCCTGACTACATGACATTTCCCTCTTGCTTTGACTTTTCCTTTCACTCCTCCACAGTAAGTGAACCAACTTGTATTTAACATGTGTAAGATCCAAAGACCAAGGTCCCGGATTTCTTATGCAATTTCCTTCTTGCCAGTTTTCTGCACTGTATTTCTAATACTTTTCAATTATTGTTTATAGGTAATGATTTTTGTACGGATATGTATGTGTGTCTAAGTGAAACACTATACCTCTTTAAGGAATCTCATGATGAAGACCCTTCATAAGGGGATTGTGAAGTTGCTCCCCCTAGTGTTATTTTTATAAAGTCTTGCAAGGGAAATACCTTTTAGAGTGTAATATCAGATAAAATTGTGCTGCTCCTGAATTACCAGAAAGTTTTCATCTTACAATAATCATGAATCCTAATACTATAGATAGCATTACCTTTGTTTTGAATTCTCCTAAGATTAAATTTGTGAACCAGGTATGGTAGCATGTGCCTATAGTTTCAGCCATCAGGCAGCAAGAAACTCACAGGCAGCATGGGCTTAGCAAGATTCAGTCTAATAAATAAATAAATAAATAAATAGCTCAAGGAAGGAAATAGTAACAAAAATAAGTCAGGAAGAGAGATAGAAGGGAGGGAGAAAGAGGAAATTTAAAAAAAGAGAAGAAGGGAAAAACTACAGAATGTGAGTTGGTGTGCATGTGTTTGGAGCTCATATGTAGAGGGTATGTATTGGTCACTTGTGGCTATAGTTGTGACAAGCTGAAGCTATGATTGTGTGGGATCATACATCTATTTGGTGACTCATACTCCTCTGAGCTACAGATAGTGGATCCAAGTGAGTATAATTAATTCATACATCTTTCCTTTACACTTTTTCTGTATCACTAGGACCTAGCATATTTTTCAGGGTGCAGTATTCATTGAATAAGGATTTGTTAAATAAGTTGTGATCTGTCTCATCTGGCTAATATGGCTAAAAACATACATCTGAATCTATAATCTGTCATCTAAGGCCTCAGTCACATCATTCATTGCTTAAGTCTTTTAGTTTGCATGTTTTTTCTAGGATGAAAAGGTGCAATAATTCTGTGAGCTAAACCTCTATTTACAGCTCCCTATTAAACCCTTGCATGCATTTCATACCTAGGAAGGAAAGGTCAGATCAAAGGCAAGACTTGAAGAGCTCTGACTCTTGATCACAAACTCTCCTGTTGTTTCTCTATTAGTCATATGCTTTATAATAATCCCAGAGTTTTATTTCAGTAAAAATTCAAATCAGAATTTTACAATTCTTGTTTTGGAATGTGTACTTTTACTCATTTTCCCCCTGCCTTAAAGTTCCCAAATATAAAACACGAACACATATTTTTAGCCTTGTGTAAATTGTAATAAAAAGACTGCATTCAAAAACTTATTCTTGTTTCCATTTCTCTGATACATAAATATATATCTACTAAGAAGATATTACAAGCATCCAAACTTCATGTATACCTAGGCTGCTTTCTATTTCCTCTGAAAAGCACATCGAAAGAGGCTTTCTATTCACAATGAGATATAAACAAGTAGCTGAGTTTTCCCGTATTTAATCAAGCCACCATGCCCACACCAACCAGGAATTTTTTCACATAAAAATTATGCCTTAGGTTAACTACAATCTTGCCAGGCATGGAAACCACTTATACATTATAGAAAAAGAATGTCACTTTTTTTCCCTAGTAAGTAGTTAACAACTCTTCATAAAAGTATTAACTTCTTTGTATTATTCCTGTGTGGCTTTATGTAAGCAAAAAGTTCTGTTCGCAATTGAAAAATATTCATTTATTTTGAAATTGTGGGTGCAATAATTCCTAGGAAATAATGACCCAGAAACAATCCTATGAGAAAGTCTTGAATTGTACTTGTATTGACTGTTAATACAAAATAAAGCAATTATAGTTCAATGTGACCTTTTGGATAACTTAGATCTCAAAACATAATTCAGATCATAATTATTCTACAATTGTTTCTTTTTCTGTGTGTTCGATGTTTAGGCCTTGACTGTACTTCAGTTTCTCAAAACTGGACATTACTTTAGGACTGTTTCCTATTAAAATATTTTTAAATACAGTAGATTGGTTTGATGTCATAATACATACACTACATGAATGTATTAGTAATTGTATTGGAATACATATATATTTTGAGAAACCAGTTAAGTTCAGTTAAAATAAATTAATATCCAAGTCGTCTCCCAAGATTTATAAATTCAATGAGGAACAAAAAAGAAAAAACAGATAATCCCTGAAGAGATATTAAAGTCCTGTAACACCCATTGCCTCATTATATGATTCTGTGTTATAATTCTAGGAGTGAGTGAAAGAAAGTCAAACTGGAAAACTTGTCATGCTTTATCTTCATATTTAAATCATTTTCTGGAAAAAAAAGACAGTCTCTATCCCAAAGAATCAATGCATATGAGCTTAAAGCCATGAGTCATATATATTTGTTTGCTTCAGAAACAAACTCATGAAACTCCATATTTGGAGCTTCCCTATTATGAAGCTCAAAAATAGGCAACAATGTGATTTGGTAATAGAGATCATAGGAGTAATTCCAGTGGGGCATATACATGTAAAAATGAATTAGTTTGATGCTTACTACAAAAGTTAATGTGGGTCTGAGGCTATAGTTGTGGTGGAGTGCTTGCCAAGCATGTGTGAGGCACTGGGTTTGATCCTCAGCTCCACATAAAAAAATATATAAATGAATAAGATAAAGGTATTGTGTCCATCTATAACTAAAAAAAAATTAAAGAAAGTTAATTTGTATATTTTTAAATAAGGCTATTTTTCCCCAACAAAAGTAGAACTAGGATTTTTCTTTGCTTTGTCTTGCTTCTTTGTAAAGCACATACCTATTTTCCATAAATTGTAGAATTTTATACAAAATCCTAAAACTTTCTCAAACAATGAATACCTTTCTAAGTATTTATTTGGCATCTTGTATTCACTCTTGATGAATTTAAGATCTGATTATAAATTCAACAAATAAGTCAATTGTTGCACCTTTCTTAGAAAAAAATTGTAGAAGGTTTCTATTAGACTATTTAATGCTAGTGATTTATCTTCTTCATATCCATCAAATATAATTTCTTGATTAATTTTATGGTTTATCAGGTTAATAAACATTAAATTGAGACTCTAACTTACATTGCTGCAAAATAGTATTTTAACAGGGAATGATTAAATGATTTTTAAAAGTCTCTTATACAATTTATGTATAATGGGAGGAATGGCAGAACATTTTCAAGAAGCATTTCTCACCATGGAAACCTGATTTTAGAGACTTAGAATTCTGGAGAATGTTTATTTATAGAAATTTGAACTCCACAATTTGTAAAACACTATTCTAAAATTCATGCATTTGATTGAAGTAGTCAAGAGAAGGAAAAAGATACACATTATGAGTTATGATTAGATTAGCAAGTAATAATATATCATCCCCTATGAGGCACTTTATTTTTAGGAAGTTCTTTCCAAATTATGCAAATGCAGCATAGTACAAAGGCAGGTAACTGAACCCAGTGCTATAATCCTCATATACACAAGTGTTTCAGTACCTGTCATAGTCCCAGATTAATCAAAATGGATGAGCACAGTTAATTTGTAGAATTCATTTTAGGCTAGAACACTTCATGTCCTCGTTATATTTTAATAGAGCCTACAAGTCTCTAATTTGGCAAGTCCATGCTTGGTTTCACACACCATCCTTAGCATCACATATGATGAGGCCACAGATTGGAGAGCAGATGCTATAACCACCTCATGTTTATCTTCTCACTTTGAATGAAGGGTTTTTACCAGTAGAAAGATCAATATGCAAAAAAGATTGGTAAGAAATAAAATAACTATTTGATATGATTAAAATGTTGTATTATCTAGATTCTACACTGGCAACTTGTATGTATGGTAAGGATAAAGGATGTGAGGGGTTTTTGATATATAGAATTTAAACTGTGGTATTCAAAATTGGATGATATAGATTCATTAACAAGACTGTCACTGCAAAACAAAATATCTTGTCAGGATGATGATAGAAAAATAAATGTAAATTATAATAGTAGTGATTTTTTAAAATTTATGTTTGCCTTGCATCTGAATGCTGTGTTATGTTGACAGATCTGGGAAATTTTAGTGGCCGGACAAGAAGTGCAGTCTCTGTGAGGGAAGGCCAGGGGGTTGTTCTGATGTGCTCTCCTCCGCCTCATTCACCAGGTACAGTAGGATCCCATTCTATATTGATGCTGCTCTGTTTTTCTTTGTTCATTCTCTTAGACAGTGTATTGACAGGGGAACATCCCAGGTGAAATGTGCATGGTTTTCTTGATATATATCACAGTACCAGATGATTAATTAAAGAATCTATACTCTACATACCATTGGTTATGAGTCTAAGCTCCTTATGATAAACTTGTTTTATTGCCATTCTAACTGTTGACTGTCACAGTGCTGCTTCTGCCTGCCATCAATGAGGAATATATTGCCTAGAGCACCAGGCAAGCGATAAAATGAGAGAATGAAAACTTTCAAAATCATTTGAAGTGCAAGTTGAGCTAACTGAATGCCAATGTGCATCTTGTTTCAGAAGATAAGCTGGATACTTTGTTGTTGATGATATTCTTTGCCATAATGGAACAAAAACTACTAAGTATTTTTTGAGTTTCAAACAAAACTACGTTTTTTTTTCCCCCTTTTATGCTTGAGGTCTTATAAAATCAGGGAAATAGGTAAGTACTTCCCAAGGCTTATGGAAAAAGAGTGCTAACCTGTACTCTGATTATTTACCAACTCACAGCTAACCATATTCATCTGTTGAAATCCTATAATTTGAGATCAGTAACTCTTCATACCTCAATATGGTTTTCCCATAGCACAACTTCAGAGTGGCCAACATCAATTAACTAGAAAGAAACATAAATAACAAAACCCCAATCAACCACTGGAAAAAGAATCCAGGGTCCTGATATATCAGCAAGTTGGGTTTTTTGTTTGTTTGTTTGTTTTGTTTTTTAGTGTGACAAAAATTTTGTAGGTTATATTGTCCATTTAGTAAAGGAGTTTATTTAGAATTTTAGCATAGATAATTCTTAACAAAAATAACAAAAGAACCTACATTTATTTTCTTAAGGGTTCTCACCCTTTAGCTGACCCTCTTTCTAATGTTCTATGTTGTTGTTAAGTGAAAGTAAAGTATACCACATTTCAATAAGAAAAAAAAATGTTTGAAAACATTTTGCTTTGATACTCAAGGTCACAATTGGGAGTAATTTCTTAGTTGTACCTACCCAAATCCTATGTGTCAATTTAGTTATTCCAATTTTTTTGTGAGCAATTTGTGAGTTTACAATAAACACATACTCTCACTTGCACCTAAATCCACATTTACTTTCTATGAAAGCGAAGTATGTTTTAGCTTTTTAACTCATAAGACCGTAGTTTAGGACAATCATCTAGATGATTTCTCATGTTCATTATTAGATTTGATTTGGAGAATATTATTAGAAGGATAATTGTTAGAGATTACAAAAAGGAGGAGGAGGAGAACACAGTGGACTCTACAAAGAATGAATGAATTCATCAACAGACTGACAGGAGTTAACAACATGGAATGACCCCTGTGGGAACAAGCAAGATCATCTGAGATAAAATCTACATTGCAATACTCTTTGAACTTGTCTTTAAACAAAAAGTAAAATGGGAGAGAATGATGTAGAAAGCAAAATTGTAAGATTACACATAGATAAAATATCCAATTGACAGGAAAAAAACTATATAGAGATTTCTGGTAGGAAAATAATATAATTATTACATATGTGATAAAATAAATATGAGCTAAGAATACACGTTAAAATTTTGAGATAATGATATGATTTCTCATTGAGATAAATATATGTAAGGCAAGATAACTGGTGATCTTAACAACCTTAGATATTCACTTTGTTATTACCAGTAGCTGTAATAACTGCAGTACTCACAAACATCCTTTTCATCAGACCGGTGCCTACTATATTTTGCTCACTCCTTGCAGTACCCTGATTCCAGGGGACCTTTAATTTCATTAGAATGAACAATTTATGAATGCTGTCTTCTTTCATTATACTTTTTTCCTCCTCTGATTCTCATTCTCTTTCAATTTTTATCATTTTCTTACATTCAACCTCAATTGTTTTTATTCTTTCTTTGCTTCATCACATTGACTTGATAGTTGGCAAAACCCTAATTGTATGTTTATCCAACTCTTATTCTATTGCATGCCTGAACCTATTCAGTTTAATAACTGTTAAAAATATTAAAACACAACAACAAAATCTTGCAATACAGACTAATCTCAATTTAAAAGCCAAATTGTAAACTACAAGCATTCCTAATGCAGACAAGAAATTTCAAAAACATCTATTCCTTTTACTATACTTTTGTTAAATCTTCAATGTGTCTTATGCCTCCTTATTTTCAGCAGATAATTCTGCATCCTATTTTACTTTGGAAAAGAATCAGAAGATCCTTCTACAACACCCATTCACCGAGGCAAATGCCCAATAATATTAACAGCCATATTCTCTTCCCTTTTTTTCAGTATACTATGTATTGACACTTTTAAAGCTAATTCCTCAACTTTTGTATGGTAGCTCATCTTCCTTTTTCCTACTTACAGAAATCACTTTAACAGGTCTCCCTTCCTTCTTTTGCATTTTTACCAGACATTTTTTTTTCTTTTTTGTATTATCCCCATCACCATGAAATATGCTGTGTTTTCCTTCATCTACAAACAAAATGAAGCAAAACTCTCTGGATCCATGTTCTCTTTTAGCCCCTACCTCAATTTTCTGCTCTCCTTTACAGTGAAGCTCCTGAAAACTTTTGCCAGTACAAACTCTATCCAATTCCCCATTCTCCTAATCCCATTCATATTCATAATCCCATTCATATTCATATTCTCTCTCTCTCTCTCTCTCTCTCTCTCTCTCTCTCGCCTCTAGCCTCTCTCCATCACTCCACCTCCATACCTGTCTTGGAAAGATTTATTGAGATGCAGTTCATATCTCATAAAATTCACCCATTTTAGATGTGTAGTTCAATGAGTTTTATTAAATGTATACAGTTGTGCCACCATCCCCCCCAAAACAGTCTTAGAATAGTTCCATAATTGCAAAAAGTCTTTAAATCCCTCTCATGTCTCTAAGTGATTACTGGTCTGCTTTCTGTCTGTAGTCTTTATCTTTTCTAGAAATTTTAGTCTCTCTCTCTCTCTCTCTCTCTCTCTCTCTCTCTCTCTGTGTGTGTGTGTGTGTGTGTGTGTGTGTGTTAGTGTATTTTTTTTCTGAGATTCATCCCTCATGGCATTTATTGATATTTTTACTTTATATTGCTGATTAGTATTTCATTGTATGGACATGTGACATTCTGTATCCAAACCCCAAAGGATGAATATTTGGTTTTTTTCTAATTCTCAAGTTGGTAATTTATTTTTCTATAAAATGTCTTCATTCAGCTTAGAGTACCCCAGTCTTGGTTTCTCTCCTATCTTCTTCATTTCCTTTGCTAATTTTGTCTTCTTTTTTTTTTTCAATTGTTTAATATTGTAGCCCCCCAAGCGTCAGTCATTTCATTTGTTTCCTTAATAAACCTTCATTCACTTAGTTCTTGTCAGATAATAAGGCTTGATATCCTCCAAAGATAGGTCTGCAACTGGGGCTCTGGCTTGTCTAGCACTGTACACTCAATATTTTTATCTTGATAGCTAACATGTACCTTAAGCTTAACTACGTTTAAAACTAAACTCCTGGTTATATCTCCTCACAAACCTCCATTCTTATAGTTTTTTTTCACATCTATCAATATAAATATGAATTCTTATTTATCTAATTTATCTTCCAGGGCCTGATTACTAGTTCATTGACAAAATCTTTTTACCCTGTCCTCGCATGGTAGAAGAGAACATGGGCTTCTTCTATGAGAGCATTAATCTCATTCATGAAGACTGCTTTCATAATTTATCATATTCTAAAGGAGATTTTCTCCTCATACCATCATTTGGGGAATTTGGATTTCAACAGAAGGAATGAGGAGGTACACAAACATTCAAACATAGCAGGTGGCTTTTGGATCTGGGACTTACAGGAGGTAGTTCATTTTAAATGAGGGTGTGGCCTGCCTCCAAGGCCTTTGAAGTTGCTATTTCTTATGCCTGGATCCCCCTCTTCAAGGTATCTGAATGGCTTACTCTCTCACATCAGGTCTTTCTTCAAATCTAAAACCTTTCCTGACCTTTCTTTTGAGATTCGCACTATTTTCCTCTATTTTTTCCCACATACTATTTATAATTGCTTATTTAATTGTTCATTTTTATAACTTTTAGTTAGAATGTAATCCCATTAGGATGGAAATGTTGTACCCAGTGCCTAAGACACTACCTTGCATAGTGCAGGAACTAAACAAATATTTATCGAGTGAATCTAATGCATAATATTCATGAAATAAATGGAATGAGTCAAAGTTTAAACCAATAAATATAAGAAACTTTGAAAGACCAATAATAAAAACAGGGAAAAATTTGTCAGGTTTGTAGTAGAAACCTTTCTTATTGTTTTACCTTTATCCTATAATTATTTTGTGAAGAAACTTATCTATGGAACAGAAAAATGAAATATGGTTCTTATCATTGACTTTGAAGAATAAAATGTGACATTTTTTATTTTCCCTAACCAACTACCAAAAACTGAAGGATCAGAATTTATTATTTGAGATCACAATAATATTGAGAAATGTGATTTGATTCTCATGCCTTACTTACTCAATTAAAAAGAACTCTAAAAATATCTAGGAACTGTCAGGTCTAAAAGCTTGTTGAAGGGGAAGGGGAAGTAAGTAGGAACCAGCCAGGGTTGATTCCCTGATTGGTATTTGTGACCTAAGAAGTCAACGACTATGATGAAGTCAATAACTGCCTTTTTTGTTTGTTTTTGGTGGGTGAAATTAAATATTGCTATAGTCATAAATAACATAATTCATAAAAGAAATCTCAGATTAAAATTTCTATTTCAGTCCAAAGAGTCATATAAATTATGATAGTGCACTTGTTTAACTGATTTTTAATTACATTTTGTTTTCTACTCCTGTTTTACTTTCTTCTTTCAAATTCAAGTTAGTTTATTATTTTACCTATAGAAATTTTATTACGTGAAGTAAGGTCTTACAAGTAAAAATTTACTAATCCT